TATATAAACACAGAGTTACTGGGAAATAATTCTTTGATTTGAAAGATATGCTGAATTAAGAGTTAAGATCAATTTAAGTCTTGAAAGTGAATAATAAAAAATAGGCGTTATTATATTTTATGTATTCTATTGAGCGAACCTGAAGGTGCGTAGGAATCATAATAAGGCCGAGCATCTTTTTATATTCCAAGCTAACCGCTACCCAACAGTCTTGCATCTGAGAAAAAATCATACACCATGGTAACTTTTGATTAATAATATATACATGCTATGTTTTCAAAAAAGAAATGTATGAAATTACATACAATAAAGCAATTAACAAAAAACTACATCGATAACAACGAACATAATATGATCAAAGTAACAACGACTTTTCTATGTTAGAAAGCACTTTATGAAACTTATTTTGAACAAAGAAAAATTATTTATTTTGTTGTGTCACATAGTATTTTAGCCAAAACAAACAAGGCAATACGTCGCGGGCCGTTTTGGTAAATATAATCTATGCCAGTATAAGCAGCTCTCTTTTCAATTATTGAACAACGCTTCTTACTTGCTTTTGATCAGTGGTATTAGATTTTCTCAGGTGCAATTGTCTTCAACATGGAAACTTTTAGATGAGAAAACTGTACTACATGCTCAGTATAACTGGTCGATGCATGACTCTTCCGAGAATTAACTCAATGATGTAGAGCAACTGCATAGATGTTTCAAGCCCGAAGAAAAATTGCACTAAGTTAATTATGAAAGTGGCTATATTTCTCGATTTCTCAAGATAGTTATAAGTGCGACAAATGAAGATAGCTTTCTTATGTCCATTAAAACAATTTATTTTAAAAAACAAAACAGTTGGCAGTATAGTATACAATTGAGATTCTTAACAAGTTCTGTGAAAACTATCATCTATAAATGCAAAAGTAACTAAATATTGCAATTGTCATAAAACACACGAAGACGCATTCCCTACTGTACATAAATTAGAAAACAATGCGGCTATACTAAAATATCATTTTGCAATAATCATTTAATATAATAGATTTAACGTGGATTTCATTATTGAATTATCAGTGAGCCATGAACAATATTTCGATAGTGTTACTGTGAATTAAGATCATTCTTGATTATGTATGATGCTTACTTTTAAAGAACGTTTAACGTCTGCACTTTAAACTATACAATACTTAACAATGGTGAATATATATGAAAATGATCGCGAAAATACAGATACTTCTTCAAGAAACTCATTTTTACATTCAGTATACACTTCATCTAACAAGTTACTTACCACAGGCTGTCGAAACTCGCCTCACAGCAGTTACATTGATGCTAATTAGCTTTTCATAACGTTGGCACGTATATTTTTTAGACGTGCCATATGGAAAGATAATGTGATTGGACCGCGTAGGACAGATGGTACATGATCTTTCACTTTAACCAATATTATAGTTTCGCCTATACTCTTTGTCTTATAGTGTCTTCTTTGAATGGTTAAATTACAACATAACAAGTGTAAAAAGAGTACGTCATTGTTTATTAGTAAGAATATTTTAGCTGGCTTCTCAAAGCTTACTAACTACGACGTGTCACGATAAGAAGGGAAAAGTTAGTAACTGACTTGTTGCTCTCAGACGCAGACCATCTGCATAATATATTTAGTCAAGTCTTACAGATTCATCAATAGGAATTGGGAAGATTATAGGGATAGCGTTTACAAATATGGCATAAGAACATTAGAGTCATATTTTACTATAGATACAATGTATTGTGCAAGTATGGAGAGGAAATTGCTAAATGTGTATGTACTCCTAAAAAAGCCTTAATGGGTCAATAAAAGACAAAAAAACTCGAAAACATATTATAGCGGACTTCTTGCATCGGTGTAATCTCTTTTATGTTACATCTCTTTTAGGAGAGGCTAAGAACTTGGCCCTACCTACTATGGGAGACAGGCAACTGGAGGTCTGTATGTAGCAGCCACAATAAATGACTCTTTTTGGGCAGCGTACCGGATTTTAAAGATTACTTAAAAACATGATTCTCAGGAGATTTGGACTATAAGTTCGGGCAACCAGGGTACAGCTCGTGGACATCACTGTGGTCAAGAGTGATTAATTGTTATGTTAAGTTCCGAACAAGCGTGCCCTTATCCCCCCCCATTGCGAGCTGCTACTGTAGGCTAAGAGAATAAAATAGATTAGCAGAACACTCTGATTTTTATTGAGCATATTAAAAGCTACCAAGAACACGACGATTTACTTAAACATTGATACATTTTCTTCCATTATCTAGCATAAGGCTGGATTACATAATAAAATATAAGATTATACTAGACTACTTATACAGTAATCATTGGTGAAATTATTTGATTACCGTTACAATAATCTAGGAGATAAACAGAAAACAAATCTATTTGAATGTGTTGGTTGCAAGTATAGTGTATGTCGATTCACTTGCTAATAACTGAGAATACATAACTCTAGTTCATTTTTTTCAATTATATTATATTTCATAGTCTTCGCTAAGAAAATTGTTTATCTGTATCTTGATTTCTACCTCAGGTTTTTGATGTATATTCTGTATATTGCAAAAACTCTTTTATTTTTCCTTTCTGATTTGCCTTATTTTTTAAATACTCAAAGGCATCAAGTGGATGTTGTAGTATTTCCTTCACAGGACGCAGAAATATGTAGTTCTATATGCTAGAATGAGATCGATAGAGCAGCACAAAGTGCTTCTGACGCAGAACTCCGTTTTACGTCCAGTCCACGATAGGCTGGCAGACATGAAGGGTCGCTAATATAGCGGAGAGTTCGAAGATGTATAACTTTCTAAGCTTATTGAACTACGTATGATAATTTCGGGCATGAGGTATTTAGTTACTATTCACTTACTATGAGCCATCTGGCTAACAAAGTTGCACATGTTATCGTCGGAGATTTAATTCCGGGTACTGTGAGGACAAGACTCTCAGCATCTCGTTTTCTCGGTTTGCAGAGTAAGATGAGTTGCATAATACTATCAATTTATTACTCTGTGTTAATGATCAAATAGCTTGGTCCTAGTTTGGTTGCGAAGTGTTTTCAGGCCAAAAATACTATTTCTTAGAATTCGTTGGATCATAAAGGGCTTTCTGTACAATATTGTTTCGTTCTTTTTAAACGGAGTAAGTATCATGAAATTACGCAATGCCTCAATCGGGATGCCATAAATGTAATAAATGATTGAGCTACGTGTTCGCATGAAAAAAGTTTTGTTCTTCTTTGGGTGGTCTGTATTGTAATGCAGGCATTGTGGACCAAAGGGTTGGAGGGGGGCTACAGTCCTCAAAGCCCCCAACTTTTCATCATAAGCGTTTTTCGGGATAGCCCCTTTTCTTTGTCCTACGGATTATCTCCCAACAGTATGCTTTGCTTTGCATCACTGGCATGTAAATTTGACCAATTTGTGAGGATTATTCCAGGAATTTACCCCCGGGACAACTTTCTTTTAACAAATTGATAAAAGAGGGAACGGGCAATTATCGATATTATTATCATTCTCCCCCCTTGTCACGCAACTCGTAATAAATGGTTTTGTTATTTATCTTTAGTAGTGTGCAGACTTATTTACTGTTTTAGATCGATCGTTAGATCGCGTGCATGATCAGAAGTTGGAACGGATACAAACTTACTAAAATTGCAATTAGAAATCAAAGGAGCCGAGATGTGTGCGTTGATAAATACAAATATGACGTAAAAAGCAAAGGCGATGTGGGAGTTGATTTTTTTGTGATAGGAGGGGGGGGCGTAGTGACTAAAGACAGAATTACAAGTTCCTACAAAGTAGCAAAATTTCCGAAATATTCCGACAAATTTGGTTCTCTTCAGGCTCCCAAGCCACGACGACTCTGGAAAGCAATAGGATAAGGCAATACATTTACGCATCCCTGGTAAAATGTTTAGAGAAGCGCCTATAAAATTTGAAATCAAGTTGAATAGGTCTTGTTTGTTTCTTACATTGAAATCGTCAATGCTGGTAAGCCGTAAAGAGTTGAACATACGGAAATTGCTGACTTGAAATGTTTTGAAAATGCATAAATTTTTTAAAACGGTATGCATCACAGTTTATTGCAAATTGAATGGCAGACTCGACCGTCCTTGTAAGTTCTTTATCTATTTATCTATTTAGTTTAGTTGTGTATATATTGTATCTACCCAGCTTCCGAAGGTATTACGAGGACACTGAGAAGCTTCCTTATCAAGCAGTGTCCTGGTCCTACCTATAGATGTGAACACACCTCGTGATTCCTACGTCTGGAATTGCAGAGAGCTGGTGGCCCTACTCACTCCAAGTGAAAGTTTGGGCATGTTAGGGGATCGAACCCTAAACCCTCGGATCTGTGGTCTTCGACCCTAGGCACTGAACAGTCAGGTCACTTTCGTCGTTGATTCTTATGCGGTTATAGATACGGCTAATATCGGTTGATGTAAAAGAAGGCAACATCAGTAACAGTAGTAAGAAAATATTCAATATTTGAATGTTTCACACAACACATCAACAGAGAGTATCTTGCAGACTATAGGATACCTCTGCTGTGTATAGATATATATTCCTAATAGATGCCCAGGTGCCTTTGGTTAATTGTTATCGGGGAGTTAAAAGCATCCACCAGAACTGCTATGAACATTATTGCACAATGATCCATAGACTATTAGTTGTCACTAGCTAAGGGAGAGCTATGACTTAATGGTTTTTTATTTAGCATGTGCTAGTTTATATGTATGCACTTGCTTTGCTAAACATCTTGGTATCTGAATTTTGCAGAATTCTACCTTCAAGAGCCAAATATGGATGCCAGAGTGCTGATCCAAACGATCCTCTTCACAACCTTTGCCTTCACTGCAACTGTTGGAAATCTTCTGGTAGCTATTTCAATAATTTATATGAAACACAGACGAGGAACTGGACATTTCTTTATTTTAAGTTTGACATTGTCCGACTTGTACTGCGGTTTACTAATAATGCCGTTAAGTACGACCGAACTGCATGCTGGAGCAACAGTAACAACCACACCCTACTGGTGCAAAATGACTGCTGGCTTGGCACTGACGGCCATTTTGGGAACGGCGTGGAACCTTGTGTTAGTCAGCATAGACAGATTTGTCTCTATAAGAAAGCCATTGTATTACCAAGTATGGATGACTCCCAAAGTCGTCATCACGTCAATTGTCTCGTTATGGGTTGTCGTTGTTATCTGGGCCTTCATGCCTCTAATGGGTTGGTCCAAAAGCATAGATTACCAAAGAAGCTCGCTCACTCTTTGCGTTTGGCCTATGATCCTAGATAACAATTACTTCACCATCACTTTAGTCTTGGTATTCATTGCCGTTTTCCTTGTTGCGATTCTTCAAGGAATTATCTTTGCCATTGCAAGGAAACAAGCCAGATCTGTTCGTGACAAGAGCAGTATTTCTAAAGACGAAAAGAGTAGAATGCGATTCGCAAGAATGCAAAGAAAAATAACTCGTGTCATTGGA